TTCCAAGCCAAACCGATCCAGGAGGGCTTCAATTTTCTTGGCACGAGGTTGCCTGCCATGTCTGTTTAGCGCAAGTTGTAGGATGAATTTGCCGTTGTTCGCACGAGCGAACAAGAAATTATATAGGGCCCGGCGCAGACCCTTCAGCGATACATTATCACCGCTGATTCGTACCACCAGACGGACCTCTTTTGCCAGCTTCGATCCGTACGACAACAAACACATCCTAAAAGAAAAGCTTAATCCAGAAATCCCTGAAAATTTAGCAATTTTTAACATTTTAACGATAAAAAAAGCACTTTTTAATGCATAAAATACGCCTTTTAGGGCTATTAGCTGAATTCCCGCCCCAGGACCGGATTCTTTTCCCCGAGTTCTTTAATGAAGAAATCTCAGGACCGCACGGAAGGAATGAAATTTTAATTGCGAAAAAGAAAAAATTTCAGCTTCCCAGCTTTCAGACCAGCAGCCCGCCGGCCCGAAGGTGTATATAGATTATCATTCATGTATATAGATTAATATTTGATGATTAATATTTAAATATTGAAGATTAATATTAAAATTAATATTCTGATCAACACTGCATTTGGTTAATATTTTTTTAATATTATTTATGTGTATATTATTTATGTCTATGTATAATACACAGAGGAAGATGATTTGAAAAATAAGAGCGAGAAATTCAAACACAATATCCCTGTTTTTTTATCCCTGTATCCCTATTATCCGTGTTTTTTTTTTTGAATGATAATAAGCAAAAGGAAAGTAAATCCGGACCAAATCTTCCTCCAAATGCTGTTTTTTTTAAAAAATCAAAACATGAAAATAAACCTTCTGTCATCGAAAATTTCGCCGAAACATTTATCACCATCTACCGGGAGATGACATGACCCGAGAATCGATAATCCATGTAATCTTGTTTCGGAAGAGCTGGACCACTTTTATCTGCAAAAATTAGTTATTTTTAAAATGACCTGAGTGGTTTTCCGCAATGACCGGAAAACCGAGGTAAGTTGAAAGGAGGGAAGGGAAGTGACAGGAACCGAGAATTATGGTTTAATTCGTCCCAGAGACGTAGCGAAGGTGAAGGGACAAGGCACTGACTGCAAAAGAAACTGAGATCCTGGCTAAAGGTGAAAAAAGAGAACGGGGGCAAATTTTACGGGAAAAAGTGCCACTCGGAATTTTTCATGCTCAGCCCGAACCTCGGTACTAAGGGGAAGTCTGCAACCTTGAATATGATATTTAAAACTTTACCTACCCAAAAAAAAACTCGCTACCACAACTTCCACAATTCGAACCTCTTAGCAAGCTAACAAAGCAATTCATAGCAATGCAGGAAAAGCAATTTATGTGATATTGTGACCCTAACAGTTAATAAGCTAGACTAATGATGTGCCCTCTATGTGTGTCTGATAAAAGCTATTGGGAAAGTTGCCAGCTGTGCAATGGAAGAGGCAAACTATGAAAAAAGGCCGATCAAGTACATCAAATATTTCATGGTACTTTCAAAGACCAACTTGCACGGATATTTTTAATCCTGCAAAATGCAGTTTCCCTTAATATAACAAAATTTTTAACAGTAAAAAAAAGCAAAAATCTGCAAAAAAGGATAAAAAAATATAAAACAAAAAACCTTGCGAAAATGAAAAAACAGAAACCCTGTGAAAAAACAGAGCCAAAAAGCTTAAAAAAAACACAACAAAATGTACCATCAAAAAGATAACATGAGGGAAAATGGAGAACAACTGGAGGAGAATGTTATAAATGGTAATATTTCAAAAATTTATTGAAGATTTATATGAAATAAGTTCTAATATCAAAGTCAACATTGCATAATAATCAGCTAAGCAGGGATGTTTCGGTCCATTAAGTCACATACACTCCTATTTAATCACAACTAGGGCTGTTCAGTACGACGGTTGTGGTGCCAAACAATCAAAAATATTATAAAACGTATTTTAAATATATTTAACATATAAAGCAATACGAAGAGAACGCAAACCGATCAATGTGTATAGAAGAATCCACAACGGCAATGACAAAATCGGGCGGAATAATAAAACTGAAATAAAAAGAAAGATACACAGCAACTTCTAAGATTTTACATGAACAGACAATAATCAACGTTCGTCGTTGGTAGAGTTGTTCATTGTTTTTAGAAATCTTAAAAAAATGCGATCGCCCATGCCACTATGTTTACAAACAATAATTTCAAAATGAGACTGTAAGTTGTTACAAGTATCAAGCAAGAAATAACAAAAAATTAAGTTAGGTAGGAAAATGGCGGCCTCTCCAGTCTACCGGATCGTGAGTAAATATAATACCGATATTTGCATTTTTGCTCTAAAATAAATCGAAAGTGTAGATTTTTCCAAGAAACTTCTTGAAATCTATGCAAGCCTTGTTCCCCTCAACTACAAATCCAGCAAATACACTTCTCAAGTCACACAGACTAAATAATCCTAAATCGTTATATTTGAAAAAACACCTGAGAAAATTACACATGCACAAACGGATCAGACTGAGCAAGGAAAACATCTGAATAATACCATCACAATGTTAAAAGAACACAGGGAAGGTCATCAGTGCACTGGGACAACTGCATGGAATTAAGTGAATGAGAGAGGCCAAGAATGAAAACTGGAGAAGTTACTGGTTAAATCAGTGATGAAAAAGAAAACAACGACGAAGTAGCGTATATTTAAGGCAAAAAGCAGTTGCTAATGCTATCCAAAACGAGATCTATTCAACCACAAAGTGTCA